AATCGGCTATTATAACCTGGTATCTCACTTACGGAGAATTTGAATTTTGTAGCAAACAACAAAGCATGATTTATGTGTGAAAATGTAATTATTAAGATATATAAAAATTATTCCAAATTTCAAAATATTGTTTTGTTAATAAAAGAAATTCAACTTCCAAGCTCTTCACTGGCATGTGTTTTCACTGAAAAGAAAAAAATGGAAACAAAGTGATCCCCCTGAAGCATTAATTACAACAAAATTACGCGAAAATTGCAGACTCAGTTTGATTGAGTCTGTTCATGAGGGATAATGAATAAGTGCAACATCCCTCACGCCCCCTTGCACCGTCTTGAGCGGTACTCAATTATCCAAACAGTGGCTTAGTAAGGTTTTATGAATGTCCATCCACATTAATACACTGATGGTCACTCATTTGCCTCTGTTGAACACGGTCAGGATGTTTGTCCCAAATATTTCTCGGACGAGTCCTTATATGGACCATTTCATTTCGTGAGAAAAAGTAGTTTACAGTGCGCTATAAATCTTAACTCTCTAGAATTTACATTTTCACCGCAAATTTTATGAAGATTGGCCAGGAAAATTGTTGTTTGATTGGTTTTCTAGGTCTTATTCCATTATTGTGTCATCTGATTTATGAATGAATATTATTTGTTAGATTAAGTAATAAGATTCTTGCAAGACAGACACATTTTGATACAGTTGTGAAACTTGATTCTTGCAATATTCTGTATGAAATATACATTATTTCTCCTACAGGAAAATGTGAGAAGAAAACGAATTAAGGAGCTAGTTTAAAAATATAGCAGGGCAAAAAAAGAAGAAGAAACAGCTTATGATGGAAAATCCAAAAAAGGTAAAAATGAGACATTCAGTCTGTTACGTTACTCTGTTTACAATGGAAAAATACAAGTATTTTTTCAAGAAACAGGTTTATAATTTATAAGTACAAATCCCTAGATACTGAATAATGATGTTTTACCAAATAAATTTTGCTTTGGTAGTTGCTGGGTCCTCCTAAAGAAGTGTGAAGAACATGTCCCATGCCTTAAACTTGCAACAAAAATAATCATTTTTAGTTTAGGAAATATGTGTACATCTATATCTGAGTCATGATTTAATATATAATAATTAAGGTTTTGAATAAATCTTTAACTTTTAAAGCAGCATACTTCAAACATTCATGAAAATTCTCATGAATATTATGAAAAGGAAAATATTGTTATGAACAAAATAATAATCTACTTACAATCGTAAATTTTTAAAGGTGGTTAAATTGGCAAATATAGCCCTTTCGTTACGCGTTAGGAGAATTATGGTGATGTATACTGCAAAACCAGTGATTTATCCCAACATGTAAATTATAACTTAATTCTTGAATCTCTTTACTTTTCTTAAAATCTTAGCATATTTATCTTAAGTTTGAGTTTTTAAAAAAAATATTTTGACTCATCTGGAGGCATGCATCTTTAATGCTTAAAGTCATCTACTATGATACTTTGTGCATGTACAACTTTGTTCTTCTGTCAGTTTACGTGCTTGTCGGTTTATGTGCCATATAATTCTAATTAATATAAAAAATCAAGTTAAGTGAAATGGTTGATTCAATTGCATTAATTCAGCATAACTTATTCAAATATAAATAAATAAGAAGTTTCACACTATTGTCTTTTTTGCGTTCATTGAACGCTGCCTTAACTTGTTGATTTTGTTTATCATATTTTGTGGAGGAATGAAAATATGAGAGTACCTGAATCAGTTGTATTTTGATATCACTATATATACATGCAATGATATGTAATTAATATGAAAAATAAGACAGCTTGTAGTATGTAATCATTCAAAATATTACTTTTTTCCTCTTCAAATTGAATGTTTTATGTAATGAAACTTTACTATAAATGTATATTAATATGTGAAAATACAAAGAGTACAATAAATGATAATTATTAATCTGATATTGAGGAATCTATGGTGAAAACAAGGATTTTTTTATAATTTAAAATATGACATTTTGAAGCCAATTCTTTGTTGTTTTTTTCTAAACATGATCAATAGGTGGAATTGTAAAATCACTTATAGAATGATCTGATACATGAAATGGTTCTACCAAATCGATAAAGTTTTCTTGAAAATGACAAATAACAAATGTTTGACTTTTCATTCTTCTAAAGCATTTGTGCAATGTTTGACTACATAATATAAAAAAACACTGTAATTACCCTACATGCAAAATCTTCTTTTATTCTATTAACAAAATAATTCGAAGCACTAAGATTCAGTTGTAAAAAAACAGTTTGAACATTTATGATTATTTTGGCACAGAACCGACATGCAAATAGCAGTCAAATTTAGTATTCTCAAGTAAAGTTATCACCAAGGAGATAGGGTAATAGATGAGCAAGCTGCGAGACTTCTTACTTCTTACATGTCTGTATAAATCAAATGATGCATACTTCTTAACCCGTAATACACAATACATAAGCCGTATTACATATGTCATGATACAAAATACAAAAGTCAAAATACGTAAGACATAATGCAAAAGTCAAAATACATAAGACATAATACAAAAGTCAAAATACATAAGACATAATACAAAAGTCAAAATACATAAGACATAATACAATAGTCAAAATACATAAGACATAATACAAAAGTCAAAATACATAAGACATAATACAAAAGTCAAAATACATAAGACATAATACAAAAGTCAAAATACATAAGACATAATACAAAAGTCAAAATACATAAGACATAATACAAAAGTCAAAATACATAAGACATAATTTAAAAGTCAAAATACGTTCTGGTCTTTGTGATACATTGACAGAATGTTCATCTCTATAAATGTTTTATTTGAAAGCTGGTCAATTAAGTCAAGAAGTCATTTCAAATTAAGAGCATGCAGGTGTCTGTGTGTCTATCCGTCTGTTTGATGTTTGTGTCTCCTGCTACTACAAAGTAGCTGAAAAATTTACAGAACAATGCAATTGCTTAATGTGCAATAATCAGGTAACACAGTCATCATGATCACTGGTTGCTCGCGACTGTATTTTAACACAGGGTAACATTTCTTTTGTGATTTTCATGAAACATGTTCATAGTGTTCATAAGGTATTCTCAATATTGGACATTAAATGAGTGGTAAATACTAGATCACTTGGTTAAAATTTTAGTCTGGTAACTGTGTTTTGATTTTGTCAAAACCTAGATTAATTTAACGAATCAATGAATACGACCATTCCGTAAAATAATGTACTTTTTTGAAAGAAATAAACAGCAAGTTTTTATGTGAGTGACACATATTTTTGGGCGCTTTATTAAATGACGTATACATTTAAGTTTTCTATGAGATTCAGTTATGATGGTTGAAAGATTCATCAAATTTCTATATAAAACTATATCCCTTGGTGTATTTTCAATAAATTATCATAGATAGCTTATTATTTCTTCTTTCAGAAACAGCGAGGTACTGGTAGACATGCCATATATAAGTTGCACCTTGGATGGCTTCATGAAACTCGTGGGAAGTTAAGACAAGTTACCGCACGGAGAGGAGGCGGTACAAGAATATACGAATTTAAAAAAGAAGAAGAGCAAACTGTTCAGACAGTTATAAATTATGCAATTAGCATTTTCTTTCCAGATGGAAAAAATGATATGGGAAAGTTATCAGATATGGTAGTGAACCTGTCTACATATAACGGAGAAGTAATCTCAAAATTTGTCATGCCAAATGGGGAAGAATGTAACTTGCAAACATACTTGAAGTCTATCGGCGTGTTTTCCTATCAGTACTTTTTATATTTGAGAACATCTAAAAAAACAGGAGATTGACGGTAGAGAGCCAGTTAGACAGCTGTAGATGATAAAAGCTTTCCGGTTCGTCTAACATCATTGATAGTAAATGACCAAACACCTGGTGAAATATGTGTAAAGTACACTAAACTTTGCAACTCATCATACACAGCAGAATGTTCAACAAAAAAATCCTGACCCAAACCATTTTATGACTGCTTTCTTGACACAATTGTAAGTGATCCTGGACAGAGAAAGAAGATGAAGTAAATCCACTGGAAAATTGTTTCAAAGTAAAACAAGGCATAAACAGTCAACAAAGTCTCTATTTTGAGCCAAGCAGTTCCGAGTTTCTAACCACTTTTGAATCCAAACAGCTACATCAAACAGCTACATCAAAGAAAAAAGGACATCATACTATGCCAGTATTATATTCTGGTGCATATTTCCTGACCACTTCTTTTGTGGGACTTTGCTTTTTTGATTCCTGCCGTGAAGCCAGAAAATTTCTTTTTTGGTGTGTGTGGGTTGTTTGTTTTTTTTGTTTTAGGGGTTTTTGGGGGGGTTTTTAAGGGGGGGTTTTTAGTTAGGTGTGGTTTTTTTGAGGGGGGGAGGTTTTTGGGGGTAATTTTGTGGTATATTTTGGGAAAAGTTTTTAGATGTATGGTTATTTAGGGGTTGTTGTTTTTTTCAGGTTTTTGGTTTGGTTGTTTTTGGTTATTTGGGGTTAAGGAAGGGTTGGGCCTGTTTTGGGATTTTCTAGTTAATGGTTTGGGTTTGTGGAATGTTGTTTGGGAATGTTGGTTAATCAGATGAAGATACAACCCTTTATGAATGTGCGGCTGTAAGGGTGGACTCTCAAGCTTTGCTGGCAGAAAAAATAAAACTTTCAACAAACACTTGTCATGCAACTCAGGAGATTTTAACTGACCGAGTAAGACTTCAGTCCCTGGATGACAGTACAGTTGATACTGCTTATGTAACTGAACCATCAATGGAAGACAGTACACTTGATACTGTTACTGTTACTGAACCATCAATAGAGGAGAGTACAGTTGCTACTGTTACTGAACCATCAATGGAGGACAAAACAGTTGACACTGTTACTGAACCATCAATGGAGGACAGTACAGTTCACACTGTTACTGAACCATCAATGGAGGACAAGTACAGTTGGCAGTGTTACTGAACCATCAATGGAGGACAAAACAGTTGATGATATTGTTACTGTTACTGAACGATCAACTCCTAGTTATGATTCCATTACAAACAATGAAGTAATAAAAAGTCATGCCATGAATGAGAATGTGAGTGAACAGACAAACTGTGACTATTTCAAAGAACGTTCAAGTACAGCCAAGTATTAATCCTATACACGCGCTTAATTTCTCAACAGATGTAAATGTGCCAGAAATTCCTTATGATAGTTTATGTATGGGACCTAAAATTGGGAAGGCTCTTTTGGAACAGTACATTTGGCACATTATCATTTTTTACTCCAGTTGCAATAAAAACTGTAAAAATAAAGGCGAATTAAAACTAGTCCAGAAAGCTCTTGAACGGAAGTAAAAGTTCTCAGCAGAGTAAGGCATCCACACATTATACTGTGTATGGGGTATTCGGTATATAATAATGCATTACACATTGTGTCTGAGTACATAAAAGGATCAAATTTAGATGACCTACTGTTTGGTGATCGATGCCAAATAATCCCCCTTCTAAAAAAGTGCCACATTGCTGAAAAGATATCACAGGCTGTTGCTTACTTGCACAACAGTTCTCCTATTATATTACATCGAGACTTAAAGCCAGAGAACATCATTGTATCAGAATCTTTAGAAGTAGTGAAATTATGTTACTTGGGGATTTCAAAATTGTTAACAATAAATAGTTCTGCTACCACCTATGCACCAGGTATGCAACCAGGTACCCTTATCTTTCAAGCACCAGAAATTTTGCTTGGTAGTAGACCTGCATCAACAAAATCTGATGTTTGGGGAATGGCAGGCACTCTTGCAGAATTATTCAGTGAATGTCCAATGTGGGGATTACAAGAGGAAGATGAGAAGAAGAAAATGAAAGATCAGTTGTTGAAACAATTAAAGAATTTATGAGTCAAAAAGAAGTCCCACATGCCATTACAAAACTTGTACAAATGGACTGTATTTGTAGCAGAATAGTAGACATTGTAACCAAGGGGCTGAACTATGATCCCGATAGCAGACCAGTAGCGACTGAATTCCCAACAGAGTTTAGTAAAATAAACTAAAGATATGAACGGGAGTAGCAAATAAGTAAATGTGATATAATGGAACTGAAATATTATTGTTTGATATATATTGAGAGTGACATCAAAAGTGGTTAATATTACATTAAATAAAACTGTTTATACCCCCGAAACGAAGTTAGGCAGGTATATAGGAGTCAACCGGTGGTCGGTCAGTCGGTTGGTTGGTTGGTTGGTTGGTTGGTCGGTCGGTCGGTCGGTCGGTCGGTCGGTAAAGCGGTCCGTTGCATTTTCCTTGTCCGGAGCATAACATTAAGACTCATGGTTGGAATTCCTTATAACCTCATACAATGGTCAAGCGAATTGAGAGGAAGTACAGTACTCAAGAACCATAACTCCATCTTGACTTATTACAGAGTTATTGCCCTTTGTTTCTTTTCCTTGTCTGGAGCATAACTTGAAAACTACTGGTTGTAATTCAATACAATTTTATACAATCGTCAAGCACAATAAGAGGAAATGCAGTACACAAGAATCATAACTCCATTTTGACAAATTACAGAGCTTTTTGCCCTTTGAAATCTTTTCCTTGTCCGAAGCATAACTTTAAAAGCACGGGTTCGAATTCAAAAAAACTTCATACAATGCCCTTTGTTAATTTTTGTCCAGTGCATAACTTGAAAACTATGGTTTGGAATTCAATACAACTCTATACAATGGTCAAGCACAATGAAAGGAAGTGCAGTATACAACAACCATAACTCCATCTTCAGTATTTGTAGAGTTATTGCCCTTCATTCATTTTCCTTGTCCGATGCATAACTTAAAATTAATGTTTAGAATTTAATGCAACTTCATACAATGGTCAAGCGCAATGAGATGAAGTGCAGTGCTGAAGAAGCGTAACTCTTTCTGAACTTATTTCAGGGGTAATTCAATAAAACACACTTCATCAATGTTAAACCACATTGACTGGAACTGAAACATACAAGAACCACAAAACTATCTTTAATTGCCCACAACCCATAACTCAATTTCAATTATTTTAAAAGGTATTCTATTACTAATACTCCATCATTTCCGAAGCAGTCTTGCATTAATCACATTTAGTGATAGTTCTTGTTTTGTATTAGGCTGTTTTAAAAAAACTATAATTATTTCTGTTTCTTTGACATAAGTATTTTCAATTTGTTTAAAATCTAAGTAAAAACTTATGACTGATTTCAAAATATTTAAGTTTGTATGCCGAAAAGAAAAGTTGGTTTTAAGTTAACACTTGTTTATTTTTTTTTACTTAAAGACTTAAATAATTGTCAATATATTTCGTTAAAACCATTTAATTTTGTTTATCAGATTTATATTTCATATAAGCGAGCTCTTTTCCTTAAAACAATATTTTTTGAAAGTGTCAGTCTTTTAACCTAAGCAAGGAAATAAAACAAATGGACATAGTATTCATGTTTTGATATCCACCAGTGAAGTTTCAAGGGTTGTTTGAATAAGTTCTATGGAAAAACCTATAAAAGGGAAACAGAATAGATATCAGTTTATGTTTTTTTAATGTACATAAACTACTTCTTATGTTGTGTATGAATTTTTATATAATCATATAATAGACAATTATATACATTTATATAATATAACAATATAACAATATTATAAGACATATATCCTGTAAAATCTGTATGTTTGGAAGTTACATTGTGGGCATCTCAGAACAACATTTTGGGAACAAGCATGTAACTAGTTTAGCCCCCTTGTATCAGATAGCTATCAGATCAAATAGCCTCGTGTTTCATTCTTCTTTGTAATACTTTAATGTCCTTGAATTGACCTCAAATAAGTAAAAGATTCTGGTTCAAAGGCACATAAGTGTGATCGCAGAATTTACCAATCCACTACGCAAAAGCAATTCAAAGTTAACATCTGATACTATCTGATAGCATTTGGTTTTGTTTCTTTTTCAAAATTGAATTTATTGCATGACTTAATTATTGTAAGATATAATAAATTGCTCTACTTAATGATTTTTACATACTCCTTTATTTAACTCCATATAAAAACCCATTTTGCGGAGGAACAAGCTTACACAACATTACGTTTCGTACTACAATCCATTTCTTTTAAACAAGGGGAAAGAGGAGCGGTGGCCTCTTGGTTAATGTGTCTGCCCCTCAACCTAAGGACTATGGGTTCGAGTCCTACTCGAGCCATCTCCATGTTTCTTCATATGACACCAGTGGGTTTTGATTTAAAAAAACCTTGGCAAGAACTTGTTCCGCAAACGATCTCAATGAATTATATTAAATATCTGATACTTGAAGAGAATTTATTCAGAGCACATATATGAGAGAAATTATTCCATGGCTTCATCAATAAGTTACAGTAGTTCCCTGTATAGTTCTAGAGCATCTTGTACATCCATGGGAATGCGGATGTCAGGCTTTAGTAATTTTACCAAATCTTGAAATTCTTTAATGCATGTTGTCCTACGTAAGCCGTACATTTCACAACAAGCATCAACATCATTTTGATCTACAATCTTTCCATAATTGTGTCCGCCAAACAATTCCGGAACGAAGTACATTAAATCGTGTTTTCCATTTGGTACCTCAGAATTTCTCTGTTTACGTATGGAATGTAAGTTCCAATTAACCGCTATTCTGTCAAGCTCGGCCTGAATCAAGTGCATAAAAGAGAATTTCAAGCATTCAACATGTAAAGGATTTATTTCATCATACTCTTGATTGTCTTTTAAATCTTTGAAAAAGGAAATCCACCATTGAATTCCTTGGCGTCTCATAGTTCCCCACCAGGCCTCTATTCGTTGATTTGAAACGCTTTTTCCGTATATAAAACTTCTAAGTCTCGATATACTATCTGTATCATTGTACCGGAAAAACGGTTGGAGCAAAGACAGAGTTGAATTTTCCGTTCCCTTATCACAACGAAGAATTCGGGGAACAACCCGAAGCGTCTTCAGCGCTTCAAGATAATACATAGCGATGACTGCAGGGTTGTTGTTACTTTGTGACACTTCTAGCCAAAGTATCCTTCTACTGTAACCATCAATAGCACCGTGTATACAAAAGCCATATGGTTTCAGTTTATCGTAACCGTCTACGTGCCATACATAATTTGGCCCCTTTATTCTGTACTTGCGTCTTTTAATTCTGTGGGCTTTCCGAAAATTTATTCCGTCAGGATCAATAGTTTTCATAAATGAAAGAACTTTATTTCTAGGAACTCTTAATTTATGTTCATTTGTCAAGCGTTTCCACATCGAACGATAACCAATGCACTGACCACTTGTCTCAATTTCCTTGGAAATATAATCAAGAACAATGTGATCTGGTGTGTATCCAGTTCGACGTCGTAAGTTGTTACATTTAAGTACTCTATTAAGCTGTCGCAACGATATTTTAATGTTATTTATAACAAACAACAAAAGAATAATTTCCGGATATGAAAACCCACAGTAAAAATAGTGTTTCACTAATTCAAGCCGTGTACTTCCTGCTGTCGATGTGTCTGGTATGTTTGAAGGTGTCACTCCTAATACAGAGTTAACCTGTTGTATCCAAAGACAAAACCAAAAGCTATGGAACGCCAACATATTCACTTGTGATATCTGGAAAACAGAGTACGTATACATATAAGCTTTTATTCATACTTATAAGATGTCAGACAAAATATATAATTTATAAAAACACTACTGTATAAAATGTCAATTGCAATAATTATTCAAACATCATAGTTATCAGTGTGTAGGTTTTTTTTTTTTTTTTTTTTTTTTTTTTTTAAATCATATAAATGTTGCTAGGGAGAAAAAAAGATTAAACAAAGACGGAGTTTGATTAAATGGCCTGAAAATTTTATACACACTCACGGAAAACATAGCCTCGCCCTGTTGATATAAGCGGACGGGTTGATAAGTAAGACTATGACTGCTTAAACCAAAATTGCACCGTATACAGGTACTGAACACTCAAATAACCTTTATATTTGAAAAATTAAAAAAGAAGTTTAAAAGGGAGATAACTCAATAGAGTCACCATAAGAATAAGAGTTTCAAGTTGTTAGGCCAATGCCTTGCAGTTTTGGAAAAGAACTGAAACTGAAACAGATGCATGGAGAAGTTGCAACTAGTTGTACAGTTAATCCTATATACTATAGTTGTCATGACATAAACAAAATTAATTTATGTAAATCTTTTAACAATTTAACTCTTACCAAAGCAGTCTTCTTTGTTACTTTTTGTTCTCCTACTGTACTCTGCAATTTGATAAAATATCATCATTCGGCACATTTGCCTTTGTACTTGTCTGATAAATCATAAATCAATTTCTTGTATTTTCCTTTGTAAAGAGAGTCACAGGTAGAAGATGAATGTCCAACATGTTTACCATCAATGGATCTCCATAAGTTAATCTTTTTCAATGTTTCTCGGTCTTTTTTCTTCTTAGTGGCCTGCTATGTTCTGAACTAGTGCATGAATACGTTTACTACTCGCATTGTTTACTACTCGCATTTACCTGAAGGAGAAATAATTTATATTCTATACAGAATAAAGTTTCACACATGATTTAAAAATGTGTCAGTCTTGCAAATATTTTGATACTTAAACTTTAACAGTTAATACGATTGTTGTGCCCTGTGACCTATTTTTTCATCTGAGATGACCCATATATTCGAAACCTAACCTTGTATGGGAGATAATTATTCAAGTTAGGAGAAATACAGTACTGTCATACTTTTTAAATTTAACACTTACCAAATCGTCTTCTGTTTCACTATCAAATTTACCTCCAACGTCCATGAAGGGTGCATGTGATGAAACTTGCCCTTTTGCCGCTTTTTTGTCAAGTCATAGTACATAAGACAAAAGTCATAATACACAAGTCATTAGTCATAAGACAAAAGTCCTAAGACAAAATGGCACTTATGGGCTTCCGTATAAACCTGTTGCTGGGAGTGTAAAATTTATCTACATGTTTAAATGTCAGATTGTTTATGCTAGCAAATATGCGCGTTTAGAGAGAGATTTTACATCAGTTAGGAGGACACGCTGTATGTGTAGCGGGTTATTTTTTTATTGAGAAGATAATTTTTGTTTTTTAGTAGGGAGTTTTGTTGGTTTGTTGAAGTGGTTGAATATAATTGTGGTGATCTTAATTGATCAGGGTTTATTGGTTGTAATTAGTTGTTTTTGGTTGTTGAGTTATATCTGTTTGTGACGATATAATTGGTTGATATTGGTTGAATGTTTGTTTGGTCAAGATTATATTAGTTGCTGCTTTGTTTTGAGAATATATGTAAATATTGGGTACTTTAGTTTAAGTTGTTTTCTGATGCTGATTAGATTGTGTGAAGTTAATATTGTTGGATGAATGTTTGTGGTTTATACTGTATCTTAGAGTTGTAAAAATATTCATTTTTTGTGTTCTTCATTTTGTGGTGATTTTATTGTTTTGTTTGGTCATAAGTTGTTTAGAGCTTGGGCTCGCCAGGTGTCTAGTAGTGTTTTGTATAAAAGACGTATACGTGAAAAGATAATACGTATAAGTGGTTGATAAATGATGTGTGTCTGTTTTTGGGTGTAAATAATGATCAGAGTTCTTTGTTTTGGGTGTAAATAATAATCAGAGTTTGTTGTTTACATGTATATATTGATTTGAGATAGAAAAGGATAAAAATACTTAAAAAAAAATAGTGTTAACTAAACAATTACGTGCTAGTTTTCCAACTGAGAATATTTCACTCTTATATCAGGCGGTGCTGCCCAGCTCCCATATCTTGGAAATTGGTTCCAGTAATTATTACTGAATCTTTCCTTAGATTAAATAACATCAAGGCAGACATTTCTCCTGACAGTTATAAACCTTTTGAAGAAAACTTTGTATTATATTTGAATTTTGTAGAATATATTTTAATTAAAATTGGGAAAGCTGTTTTGAAATTAAGCGTTGTAGTATTAGGAACGGCCTTATTTCTGCCAAAGCCGGGAAAAGGTGGAATTATTTAACCTTTTACATTAAACGGAAGGAATTCTAGAATAGTGGAGTCACGGAATGTGCGGTCATTGTTGAAATGCTCTGTTCTCTTTGAAAAGTTTCCGCACTATTTATCATTTAATTATAACAAACTTGATAAAATATGCGAACTTTGTACTTATTACCCGGAAAACTCAATAACTGAAGTCGGATGGACAGTTTACGCACATATTCGTTGGTATTTCACTGATTCTCAATGTATGCAAAGGAAATTATATTTCTGAAATTATCCAAAAAATCAAATTTTGAAAGTATATTATTAACACAAATAATGTTGTCATTTTAATCACCATCATTATAGTGATCATCATCGTAAATGTTATCATCATCATTGTTATTATCTTCATTGTTGTCGAAGTCGTCTTCGTGATAATCATTTTCAGTAGCAATTTCATCATCATTATCAACAGCGTGAGAATTTTCGTAATATAGTAATTTCAAGGATAACAAGCATCATTTTTCTTCTCAAAATGGTCACCGTTATATTCAATCGTTACTATTGTTAGTAATTTTATCACCAGTTTCAATGTAGAAATACAAGTATTGGAATGTGCATTTGTAACTTTATTATTTGAAAATTGCCTTTTCTAGTTTGAACATGAATACTAAATCTTCTGTTATTAATTGAATAAATGGCATTTATAAAGAAAATACGATCATGTTTAAGCAAAAGAGAAAGACGCACGTATTTGTTTCTTTATTTTGTTAAACATTTTATTTCTTTGATTTGCACAGTGATTCCAAATAAGTTCGCATTTCTGAAAATTGTAAAACTATTTCTTTAATAATATAGTTGACGGTTCTTGGGGAAATTGGTTGAACTGGGGTTCTTAATCTGTACCATGCGGATATGGAACGCGATCAAGGTCAAGGCTGTGTAATAATCCGTCTCCAAGCAACGATAGAGAGGAATGCCAAGGATTAAATCTCCAATCAGAAATTTGCAACGCTGGTGCGTGCAGGACGTTTGGTAATTTGTGATGTAAGTTGTTGGTTTCTATTATTTCCTTTTATGTATTAAAAAAGAAATCACCCACTCCGTGCATTGCCTTGTGCCCTGCTTTTGTATTGTGTCCTGCTCGACTATTGCCAGTGTTCATGTGTTGATTGGTCATATAGAGGTTGCGTTTATTGATCACCACCCTTCCTTGTTGATTTTTTTTATCATATTTCCTGTTTGAATGATGCAATTATCTATAAAACAAGATTTTTATTTTTAGAAAAAAGTACACTTGCCACATTAAAACACCCTCTCTTACTACCCGACAAATCTTAATCTCATCAACAGTATAATACATATTTGTTATTAATTACATTGTTAACTGATTATTGATAAATCCTATATATTAACTGAAAAAAGGTAAACCATCGTCATCGATAATTAAATGGAAAAGTTTGACTTTCTCTTCATGTATCTTACAATTTCATATTGCAATCAGTGGCTACCACCTGAGTACAGATACCGCCGTCTGGGATACCGCAAAGGTATTTATCACTTTTATATAATGCTATTAGATTTCCCAAACCGCACATGTCTGAAACAGATGTTTCAAAACGAACCTTGCATAATTGTCAATGTTATCGTTTTAGGCGATCTTTTGGTAAGGTATCTTATTCTTAAAGTCGCATAAAATTCCTACAAGTGTCTTCCATGTATGACCATGTGTTTCTTATTTTTAAAATATTGTCTTTCAAACGGTGGTTTGTGTTAAAACGACACATATACTTTTTTTGTGTATTAAGATTCCTGAAAATAACGTTCGTGTTAACATTTAAACATATAACCTATTGTGTAAAGTTTTATATTTACAATAACACTTTGATAAGATGGTGCCCTTAAAGTGTTAATTGGTTCATAAATAAAGGTGTTTGTGTCAGATTTGTAACATTAAAAATCAGTTGATGTTTGTTGTTTATTTTCTAAGTGTAGTGTTCCAACGTACGTTGATATAAATACATATATGAACACTTAATGGCACCATCTTATCAAAGTGTTATTGTAAATATAAAACTTTACACAATAGGTTATAAAAACATCATTATAACGCCGTATATAAACTTTTGATTACGTCATACTCTGTACTTTTTTTCAGACTGCCAGTGAAAGTGCATCTTCTAGACTTGTCATTATTGACAGTCAGCAGAAGAAAGACAATTTGATATCACTCAACAATAATAATGGATCAAACAATAGGCTATGTGTATGGATCAATAATAATGGATCAAACAATAGGCTATGTGTATGGATCAAACAATAGGCTATGTGCATGAACCAAACAATAGGCTAAGTGTATGGTTTCGGCTTTGAAGGTAACAACTGTGAACAAATTTAACATAAAGCTAAACACTTGCATACCAATCTCTTTGATATTTATCTTATTTGTGTTATATGTTATTTGTTATAAGCGTAATATTTGTATGCTATTTTCGGAAATATTTGGAACCCTGTAAAGTATGAAATATTAAATCATAGCTTGTATACAATCTATAAACGAAATCATACGTCTGTGTCGATAAATTAGTATTTGTATCTTTTGTATCTTTTATTTATTGTGCGATTTTATTTGTTCATATAAATTCTTTTAAAATACTATGATTTGTTTTAAACAATAAATATATGTCTGCATGACAAATAAAAAATATAGCAGGCTTGTTGGTTTGTTTCAGTGTTTTTACAATGACATTGAAAAATTCAGGCGTCAGTCCAAGCAGAATTTGTATCTTAATAGTCATAATAAATGCAAACATTAAATTATAATTAATTATTTCTTTCGGCAGAAAACCTGTTACCGTTCCACTAGACCTTTGTCGTAGTACTAACAGACACAAAATACAATGATGACATTTCCAACAAATTCATGGCGTAAATTATTGGTGTATTAATCACTTCGATGGTTTGTCAAAACACAATGAAATTAACCAATTCTGGTACCTTTTTCAAGTTTTGAAACTTGTTTTACAATTGCCTTTAACTCAAGTTTACAACCAGCAACCGAAGCATAGAAAACAAGCTTAGAATTGTTTTAATTTAAAACGTATCCGCTAACATATAGAACGCTATATTCAAAGAAGCATGACACCATTCATGCTTGCTTTAATTAAACTTTATAACAGACTTAATATCTGCTATTAAACAATAACAACTGAGTAATTTTTGTTGTTGAATTTTATATAACAATTTAAAGTGAGGACATTTATTATCTAAGATTTTATCGATTTACAAAACAGTAAAGATAATAGTCAGTTGTGAAACAAGTCTTTTTCCCTATTGTTCTGCTTTTCTTGTGTTATCTGCTATCATGTGAAGAAATATGAATCAACTGATTTAATTGTATGACGTATAGATTTATTTGCGTTAGTGGATTGTTATAGGGATTTTTATTTTCTCTATTGTAATGTCAACAACACAAATCGTCTTATTTGAATAGTCGCTCTGTGTTTCAGTGTTTTTTAATTAATTTTATTGAACAGGTAAATAAAACCATTGAGAATGCAATGAATTGAGCATTGAAGTATTGGATAATTCTTGTAAAAACTAACATATTAAAATATCAATTCAACTTGCTACAATAAGATTCTAAATCCTAGATACTTAGAATTCAACATTCTAACTTAGATCAATGGAGAACCTTAAAAGAGAAAATATGTGTGCAAAAAAATAATAACGAAAAATCAATATACTCAGAAACAAATAAAAACATAAATGAGCCACGCCATAACAAAACCAACATATTGCGTTTGCGACCAGCATGGATCAAGACCAGTCTGATCAAGATCCATGCTGTTCGCTATCAGTTTTTTTACTTCTAATAGGATTTGCAGGTTGGTCTGGATCCATGCTTGTCGCACTATGTTGGTTTTGTCATGGCGC